ACGGACCACATGTCAGGGGCAGAAAATGGCCACGGACCACATGTCAGGGGCAGAAAATGGCCGCGGACCATGTGTCACGGGCGGGAAAATGGCTGCGGATCCTGTTCGTGACCCGATCCAGCGTTCGCGAACGGAGGCAAAATTTCGAACGGAGCTGTTCATGACTCGAATTGGTCGTGAACAGAAGCATTCGTGACCCGAGGCACCACTGTACTCTGCAACTGAATATTCATCAGAGCTTATGGAAGGATTTTTAAAATTCATTTTCTCCATCAACATGTTCATGGTCCTTTTGTAAATGCTGTGTTCTCTCCCTTTATGTTGCGTGCGTGTGTGTGTGTGTGTGTGTGTGTGTATGCCTTCAAGTCATTGTTGACTCCTGGCAACTGCCTGGACAAATCCCTGCAGTTTTCTTGTCAAGATTTCAGAAGTGGTTTGCCATTGCCTCCTTCCTAGGGCTGAGAGAGAGTGAGTGGGCCCAGGGTCTCCCAGCTGTTTTAGATTTTTTTATCCTGCTTTTATTACCTTTATAAATAACTCAAGGCAGCAAACATACCTATTACTCCTTCCTCCTCCTATTTGCCCCACAAACAATTACCCTGTGAGTGAGTTGGGCTGAGAGAGAGTGACTGTCCCAAAGTCACCCAGCCAGCTTTCATACCTAAGGTGGGACTAGAACTCACAATCTCCTGCTTTCTAACCTGGTAAATTAACCATTAGACCAAACTTTGTGCCTAAGGTGGGCCTAGACCTCATGGTCTCCCGGTGTCTAGTCTGGTGCCTTAACTACTACACCAAACTGGCTCTCCCTTTATGTTTTACTATAGATTATATCATGAAATTCAAAATCATTAGAAATAATTCTTGAATTTGAGAAATGTATAGGTGACTCATTATTGTTTAGTTATTCCTGCTCTGTAGAGGCAGGATCTCTGCTGATGTTGTTGAATGGGTAGATTATAATATTCTATATATACTGAAATTATGGTAGCAGAGAATGAGCATTTCAGAAAATGAACATCATATGGCAGTGTAGCTGCTATATCAACAAGACAGTACCCATATAAGGGGCAAAGTTGTTATTTTATGTGTATCTCTTAATGTTTAAAATAACATAAAATGCAATAAAATTAAACTGTTAAAATTACATAATTAATAAAACGTCAGTCACCTACCTTTACTAACAATAAGAAAGCAGACATTAAACACCTTGAGTCATTTTAAAGTTATGTCAGTCCATTATTAAATTATTATTAAAATCAAGTTATTGTAGGAGTATCAACAATAGTAATAGTCATTGAAAAATTACAATCTATTCAACAAGAAATCTATCCTTATTTAATAATTCATCCCTGACTTAAGTGTTAAGACTTCATGTTAAGAAAAACTCTAATTTCCATGGGTAGAATTATAGTCCAGAAAAGGTTTCATGTTAAATTAAATTCTGTGTCAGAATAACACAGAATTTAATTTAATTTTCAAATATAAGATTATTGTAGATATAAAACCATGCGCTCACAACTTAAGTTGTGTTCTGCTGAAGGAATTGTATATACTTTGAGTTTGCCAGTACAGGTAGTATTAATGACCTTAATTGGGATCGGTATTTCTGTAGCTAAGCGAAGTCATTAGGGAAAACATAATGTGACCACACTGCTTAGCGACAGCAGGTCCGGTAGTCCCAGTTGCAGTTGTTAGGCAAGGACAACGCCGTTGTTAGGTGAGGATCTCATGCTTTTCCTGTCCTGCTGCACTCACTTCCACTTCAACTCCCCCCACCTCCCTATCTCCCCCCGTCTCTGCCCTTTTGGCTGCCCTACATTCCACCACCTCTCCCCACCACCTCCAGCTGACCTTTGGTATCTTCTTCTTTCAACTGCTGACAAGATGTGCCTAGCTGAGGCAGCTGCTGGCCCTTCACAAAGCCTTCATGGCAGCAGGGGTAGGTGGTGGTGGTAGAGTGCAGGGCAGCCAAAAGGGCACAGATGGGGGAGATAGGCGGGTGAATTGAAGTGCACACTGTGGTTGTAAATGTTGGCAGGCTGCAAAGCACTTGAATTTTGATCACATGACTATGGGAGCGCTGCAACAGCTCTAACTTTGAGGACTGGTCATAACTACCATTCGTTCAGTGTTGTCATAACTTTGAACAGTCACTGACCAAATGGTCGTTAAGCAAGGACTACATGTATCCTTCCTACTATGCGTTGCTGTAGGCATTAAGCCTCTTAAAATGCAGCTTACAATTGTGTTTGGTTTTTTAGCAAGCTTACCAAGATGCTTTTTGCATATCTTGCAGCCTAACTATATTCCACCATCCTATAGATCTACTTGTTATTTTACTTTGTTTGGGAACTACATGCATTATCTCTGTTCAATATTATTGTGTTGATTTTGGTCAAATATTCCAGTCTTATAAGATAATTTAAAGCTATAGTATTATCCACTCTACATTATACATTTTAGCTAGACTATAATGGAAAATTAATCAAATCTTACACAAATATAATTAGTATTCCTATTATTTACCGGACTAGTATTTCTCAGAAAATAAGATAAGGTTGGTCTGACATAATTTATTCCTGATATATATCTGCTGATCATTCTTAATCAGCGCCTCTCATACTTAACCATTTCTTTTAGAATTTTCTCTGCATCAGTGTCAGTCTGATCAGTCTGTTCTTTTTTTGTTCCAAATGTCTCCCCATTTTGAAGTGAAGACAACATTTGTGTCATCCAAATATGCCTCACTCATCTTCCAAGGACTCTTAAAGATTTATGGTCAGCACCCCTGAAATAACATCCACGAGTTTCATTAGCGTTAAAAAGTATAATTAAGTTGGCTCTGACGATATGAACTCATTTAAAGTAGCTTAGCATTCTTTATCATCACTTTACCTATATCAGGGTGCAATTCTTTCCTTATATATTTAACAGTAATTTTACCTTTCCCAGATTGAAGATGGAGCCTAAATTTCTGCTGAGCCTAGGACTATATAGAGCCTAGAACTATAGTGCTATATAAAGTCCCTTTTGTGCTAAATTTCATGGTTGGAAGTGCATGGAATAAAAGAGTAGATGTGTCTTGAACTGGGACCTTAAGAGATAATAAAATCTAATCATCATGCCTTTTTTCATCTGCTCCTGAAACTAGGTGATTCAGGGGTCTTTTTCTTGAAATTATGAAGAAAGGATCCTCCTTCTCTATTTGCTATTGATTGTTGCAAACAGGACATATCTTAGCTCACATGTATATATTTCAAGAACACTTAATCTCCTGTTTTCCATTCCATTGCTCTTTACTATTTGGTTGAATTTTCTCACCTAAATAAGAGAGCAAAATAGTTTGTGATTAACTCAAGTTTTATAACTTCATTTCTTTACAAAGAACGAATTAGAATAACATGGCTCGCTGCTATTGTTAAGGGCCACAGAGCAGAACTTTTATATAAAAATACTTGTATGGTACATGAGAGAAATGCTCAGGATTGAATCCAAATTTATAATGGAAACAAAAGTGAAGCAGCTGCAGATTAATTCTGTTACATATATTCTTGGTAAAAAAGGAAGGTCTATGAAAATAAATAAATCTTGTTTCAGAAAATAACACATTTGAATTTTTTTTTACATTTTTCTAGATGGACTCAACATGTGTTAATAGCATTGCAGAAAGCATTAAAAGAAGGTATGTTTTAAAAATCTGTAAATATGCAATAAATTTGAAATCATGTTATTAGTATATTTTAAAAATCCCTATCTAAAAGTTCTGAAAGTTCTACTGTTACTTCAACTTAAAAAAATTACATATGCTTAACAAAGCATCCATATATATAGTATATATATATATATACATATATTATACATAATTCAATTATTTTAAGGCAGGAGGAGAGATCTAATTCATTCATAGAATCATAGGAGCCCAAGAGGTCATAAGTCCAACGTCTTGCACACTGCAGGATTCAGTACA